AACCGATTTCACTCGCTTCCAGTCCCAGTATGCATTTCACTGCAGGCCCTATTTCTCAAGCCCCTACATGCACATACCGAGCAGAGCGCCTAGACTGTGATTCCCATACTTGCATATCTCAGGCATCGCCTTCACAGCTCGTCTCCTTGATTGAAACCGTGTAGCCTGAGCAAACTGTGGATGCTAGCATGTGGCATCTCAAGTGGATTTCTAGTACATTTGGGCCATAACAACGAATTTCTGTCACGGTTTGCTCATCCGTCTGCCTAGCTCTCTGACTGTCAAGGGATTGGCTTCACTTGTCTCTTTGACGAGTCTGGGAATGTACCACGTCCACGGTCCAACTTTGGAAATGATCATTAATACAATGGGCTCCGGCCAATATGACCGAGTTGCGAAAACAAGGTCAAACAAATAAATACAAATAATACAAATAAAGGAGATTGCGACCACCCAAAAGCAACACCATTTTAGTTTTCATATCTTCAAGAGAAGTTGTGTTGTCATGGTGAGGAAAAAGGGTGACATCAAAAGTTGGTGGATAAATATGAGATGAGGGGGAGGCAAGAAATAACATAAAGTGGCGGGAGATGAGTGGTTCTGACGCGAGAAGGAGATCATGAACTCACTGGATCTGAGATCCCTGACGGCACAATTCATCCGCTCCACATAACCAGTCTCCTCGCTGTTCTCTGCCTCTCGGTTGGCCACCTGAATTACACGATTAGCGCGTCGAGCAATGCTGGTGGCCGACTCAACTACTCCAGTGGTACAGGCGGCGCGAATGCTGACCTCGGTTTTGTCGGTGTCCTTCAATATTCCCGCCTCTAGAATGGGTTAAGAGAAATAGGTTAGAAGATACATACTCGGAAGAATAAGAGAGCTGAAAAACTCAGTTCCAAAAACACCTTCAAAAAATTGACTCGCCCCTACCGTGAAATTTAAGTGGCCTATTTAAGAATCAGTAGTAAGATTGATGACCTTGTAAAATAGAAATTCTCACAGACATCATGTCCAGAATTGCTGCATAAAACACGATGTTTAAGTAAAGCAATCGCAAATTCTCATCAGCCTACAGTGATTCATTCAAAAAGAAATTTGTAAAAACATAAGGGATGAATGGTAAAAAGAATAAAGGTCAAAGTTGAAGAAAAAACAAGCAAAAAGACAGGCTAAAAAATCGTACATAAATAAATGCATGAATATAGATAGAAAATTTAAGGATTTAATATAATTGAGAACAATTAAGTAATTGAAAGGGAAGGATAAGAGAATGAATTTGGTAAATGAGAAATGCGTATGTATGAATTCGGAATTAAGGAGAATTAAATAGAAGCAAAGAATTAAGAAATAAATAAGTATAATGAGTAGATGAGATGTGATTAGGGAATAATTTGGGAGTGAGCATAGAGCGAAGCGAGAATAAATGAGGAATAAAATGGAGTAAACGATAAAGGATTGGGTAAGGAAGTACTAATGATTAGGGCATGAACAGTCAATTAACGAATAGTGAATATTACTTTAAGTTAAAATTAATAATCAAAGAATGTGAAAAAATAGGCTAAGCGAAAAGAATAGATAACGCTGTAGGGGATGGATAGGGAATGCGTAAAAAGTGGATCAAAATAAGTGATAAAAAAATTCAGAAAGAAAGAGAAATAAAGTGGGTATTAATTAAAAGTAAATAAGGAATGCACAAAGAATGAATAATCAGGAATACTAGTTCAAATCACTCTAGGTCGCATTAAGCGATGCAGGAATGATAATTAAATTCTCATACAATCAGATGAATACTGCCTGATAGTCTCCAAACCCACTTTCAGGAATACTAAACAGTGAAATGGGATGAATGGGAGAGCAAGGAAAAGGAAAATAGTGCTAAATGAAGAGAGAATGAATACCAATTCACAAATAATAAGTAGGAAATTAATGGGCAAGTAAGAGTAAATAAACAGAGGATGGATCAGAAATAAAATAGGAATTATCGCATAATAACTGAAAACTTAGATAATCCAGATCACAATGGCGAGTTTACCACTCCGTTATTCAGCCAAGCGTATCATTGTGCCTCTCCAAACCATATTTATTGAGAATAAGATTGGATAATGAACATCGAATATTTATTGAAGATGCAAGAGCAAATGAAAGTGGCAAATAACAGGTTAAGATTATGAAAATAAGAAGTGAAACTATTTCAAAATGTATAGTCAAATCTCCTTGTCTGTTGAAAAATGCTCAGCCGAAAGAATTTTGGTTGTTTACAAATCACCCTCGATGCCAAATTATTGAGATGGGATTCTCAAATCTAAGAATTATTTTCATCAGATCAACCCAACAAATAAACATAAAATTTATGAAAGTAAAGCATTGTATTACTGTGGATGTGAATACCAGAGAATAAGCAACTTAGTTAAGATACTGTACACTAATTTAAGCAAAAATAACCATAATCATCTACGATGAATATGGTATAAAGAAAATATTTGTCAACAGACGTTGATAATTTTGTGAACGAATAGGAGAATTTCTGCCGTCTGCTGTTCGACAAAGCAGCTTACTAAAGATAACCTAGGCTCCGAACTGGGCCGAAAAAGATAGTTGCTATGCTCCAACAATAAAAAAAATAATACTTTTTTCCTCACTGAAGACGGCTCTCCATAGTAAGGGTAAGAATCCAACAATATTTCACTCTTTCCGCCAGCACGATAGCCAAAACAGATATCTGCATTTCAGATCAAATACACATTTACAGCAGCAACCCATCCATTGGTGAAAATTGTTATTTATACTACATTAAAGTGTACGTAATAGGCCGTTTAAACTCACACAAAAAGTAACATATTGAAAAAATCAAAAGTAAGGAAAGTAGCATCTGCAAAGCAAGTCTGTAGAATACTCGGAATGTTGAAAACATGTTGCAGCTGCGACGCAGGTCTCAGGGGGCCGATTTGCGACGATATACCGATGTAGTAGCCTATCTAAAACTTGCCAGTTCAGCATAATTCTGCCTAAATAAACCGCTCTAAATCTCGAAAGAAAAATCGCCCTGCATTTAACATTTAGCGCGCTTAAAAGCACACCTAAAGAAAGGTACACTTTCGAATACTACTTGTGTATTTTAAGTAATAGCGTTGAGTTTACAGGAAAATAATATTTAATCTGCTCTATGAACCACTTGCGTTGGGGCAATGTCATCGAGGGATGTGTTATTATGTAAAATTACTGCCTCCAATGCTATCATTAAGTGCGGCTTAAAGCATTTCAGAACTGAATTGTCATGGAAATCTGCATACAGAACTTTGCACTAACTGTCTTTAAGTGTGCACGTCGGCTTTGTTAGACGCAGGAATGCTTGTCCTGAAGTAAGCAGGTATCAAGACGATCAGAAATTCTTTTATGAGAACATATTCCCGCTAGTGTTCTTAGAGAGAGTCAAGGACTGATAGTCAACTTCTCCCATAATCGGATGAGCACACGTGAGGTAGCTATGGAATAGCACCCAGCTTCGTCTCCAAATATGGTTGGGCAGACGTTCATTCCGTATGAAAGTGCACGAAGAAGAAAGAAGAGAGAAGAGCGAAGACGCAGTCCACGACCTGAACGTCGTGTCAGAGCGATATTCAGGCGTCGTCTTCTGGCAATTTTATACTAAATTGAGATCTCTCCAGCGATGCTATTTCATGAGATTCATCGAAACTCAGTTACTCTTCGTATCTAAATATGATATTTTATCGAAAAAAGTAGAGGTCAAATGAAGCTAATCAGAATCCTAAATCGAACTCAACTGTCCGTCCTTAAATCAGTCCAAGAAACTTTGGCCGAATAAGATGGTCGAGTATCCTTCATTTCGTTTGAAGAGACGAGTCGAAGGGATTCGAAAGTTGGTCTCACCGGAAGCTATGACTGTAGATTTGTGCGAATGGATCCTCAGCCCACCGACATGTAATGGACATCATCAAAGCAGGACAGCATGTTTAACGATAATTGAACAGAAAGACGAAGACAAGAAAAGCGCCCGGCTGTAGACCTACCTACGAGGATTAATCGGGGTCGCATGGTGGTGCACCAAAGACCTATTCGCACAAATCTACAACTACAGCCCCGAAGCAATCCCTCTACAGCTTCGAGTAAGGCCAACTTACGAATACCTTCCATTCGTCCCATTGAAAGAACTAAAAGTTACTTTAGCATCAATCTAGCAAGAGATTCTCCAAAACCCAGTTTTTCTACACACTCTTTTGTTGGACCCTTGACTCACAAAGGTTGATCTGGTCATCAAAATATAAAACGAAAAAGCCAAGGTAACTGGGTAAGAAACAATACAGAATAATAAGAATAATAGAACAGAAAGGCCTGACATTCAATTTCGTCCAGACTGATAAGTGTCGAAAAATCAACTTCCGAGGATAGTAAGTAGAGAGGGATGAAAATATTTAAAAGAATTGCCTCCTAAAAACATGCAATTCACCTCAAAAGGTAGAACGATTGGAGTGGACTTTTCGGACTTGTCTGGAAACGCATCATGTCTACGTATCAGCAAAACCTTGGTTAGTTAATTGAACCATTTTGGTTACGCCAAAATCAAGGGGAAAAGCATCTATCGCGAAAGAATAAGAGAGCCGATTCCTGACAATTGCATCATCTCGTCCAAGTTATTTCTAGTTATGCTAAACCATTATGTGTGTGTGTGCTGAGGTAACATTGTCCGGTCCATCATGAATGTGGCAGATAGTTGGGGCGAGATGATGTTAGCAAAATGTCTATATTTACAAGGAAACTTTGGAGGGTTTATTCCGTCATGTACCTACTGTCAGTGTGACTACCTCATGCAAGAATTTTGTTCAAACTGATACGTTCACAACGAGGAATGAGTGATAGTTTAATTTTCCCACAATGATATGATTATGCAGTCCAGTCCACTCGAAATGGTGATACATTTTGGAAAAACAAAGCTATGCTGCTTAGTCATATGATTGTGGGAAATTTCAAATAGCATTCCTTCCTCCCCTTGAACGAAACAGGGCGAATACAGTTTTTACCCAAAATCTAAAAGACGAAAAACCCTTCCTCCGGTTTCCGGTGATGCCGATTCTTGTAGCCCATCCCACCGACTGTTGCTTCAGAATGAAAAAGGGGCTAACACTTTAAAGTAGTGGGAGTGTGGGCTGGGCATGGGAGGAAA